CCCTTGGACTCTGTGAAGGTCCTTCCAATAAATCCCCTTTGTGCTTCATTGGCTTTCCATTCTTAGTAACTACAGATGGACTAAACATTTCAAGCCCCTCAAAATTTTAGAGAGAATTTTACTTTCCCTATCATACTTGTATCAGAGAGTAAATGATGTATTATTTCCTCTGTGAGAAATAAGGGCAATGATATGTTACTTTTTCAGTAAACTTTTTTTTTTTCCATCCCTGCTTATGGGCTCTCTGCTAAATCCTGGGCTCCTGAGGAGTTGATCATGCATGGAAAACACAACAAATAAATCAACAACTTTGGAAAATTGTGAAAAATATAATGAATGACACAAGCACAGGGTATTATGGGAAGGCTGAAGAGAGGCATTAGAGTCTGTCTGTGACTATAACCCAGAAGCCTGCCTGCTTGCTGCCACCTTAGACTTGGACCTTTTTGTCCATTGTGGTGACTGGAGGGGACTGCAGAGATGAAGTGTCTCAAACAATGTTTAAATCATAAAATCAATTAGAAATGATTTTTAAATCACCCATCTACTTTCCCCCAGAATACCTTCTTCATACAAAGTCAAGTAGTCTGGCTGTCTCCAGAGGGAGTCCTGAGGATTTACTCAGCACTGCTCTGAAACTTCCAGGATTCACGTCATAAAGGTTATTCACAGAGCCTTTTTATCCTCAAGATACTTATTCTCCCTTGAAGAATCATGTTTGCTTGGGCTGATAACTATCACTGTAGAGAGCAAAGGGTAACTAAGTGTCTCAGTGGACCCTAATCTGGTGATGATGTGAGTCTCTCTCTCTCTCGATTTTCCACCTTTGGCCTGACTGACCTGGGGCACTGTGTGCTACGTGATGCACAGAGTCTTCTTGCATTCAACCGTGGGGTTATTTTTCAGGTAAGGTCCTTTGAGGTGGATACCCTGTGTCTGCCTTTGCCTTCTTGGAGCGTTTTCTTCAGAAACAGAAAATCGCTCATGATCCTTATTATCTTGGGCTTGCTTGGAACGTGGTTTCTCTAAGGGATGATTAGACCATTAGTCAAGGAATTTACTGACCTCGGAAGTAGTCTTTCCTAGGCAAGTCCAGTTCAGATTCTAATGTACTTTACCAACTTACTTCAAGTTGAGCCCAACTGCAGAGAAATGGAATCATTAGAGGTCTAGGAACAAAATTTCTGGGCATCAAGTACAATCGGGAAATCTCAGAACAGGGAAACATTCAGAACACAACCAGGTTTTCTAATAGTACATTTTCAACTGAAAAAAAAAAAAAGGAAAAGGAAGGAACAGATCTGTGCTGCGGACCTGGACTTGATTCTGCCTCTTTTCTCCTGGGGATGCTGGGGCTGGAGGCGAGGGTGAGGAGCAGGTGATGCTTCCTTTCCCCAAATGTTAGGACATTTCCCATAGGCAGTGGATTGGATTTGTTAGTGTCTTTTGGCAGGAGATGCATGTCCGGATGTAGTATGATTGCTGGGATGTTGTTCTAATGAGGATTTGGGATGGCGAGGAACAGGAGTGGGCTATTAAAATGAGCTCAAGTGAAATGGGTTTTATCACAAGGACACAGGCAGTTCTCAAGGAACCCAACCTTAGATGAAAGTGTTGCTGGGCTTCTTGTGAGTAGGAATCAGGCCTGGAAATTCACTGTTGGCTGCCCCCCACCCCCCCTTCACGGTGTCTCAGAAGTGCACAGTCTCCAGAGCTGGCTTCTGTCTGGAAGTGTGGTCAGTTCTTCTGTTTCTTCCAACATGCTCCTCTGTGCCAGACTGCATGTGGCCCTTCCACGGCTAGTTCAGGAGACCACAGGCCTCTCCTCTGCAGGACCCAGTGCTTACTGGAGGCCTCTCAGTGTCTCAGTTCAGATCCCAAAGAGAGAAAAATCTGGCAGCCCCAGCTCATCTGCTAGTCAGGATGTACAAGTCCTGGGCTTCTGGTATCAAATGGCTTGACAGCCCTAGAACCCACAGGCTACCCCTGTTCAATCAGCTGTGGTGGGAAGGGAGACAGGACTCTATGATTCACAGCGTCAGATCACTTCTCTTAGTAAGAGTCAACAGGAAATGCAGTGTTCCTCCTTGTCACAACATCCTGAATAGGGGAACATCTTTTATAGAAAACCAAGATTTTCATCTCTGGTTATCTAGGAAGCTTAGAATTTGAATTTTACTGAGAGAGATTCCTTTATACTAGCTTATACTATTAGGTAAATGAATGTTCCATTCTATCTGGAAGCATCCAGTCATTCCATATTGATTACTGAGTCCTTAATATGATCAGTCTGCTAGATTTGGGGGCTGTGAAATAAATACTTTTGGTGAGGAAAAGAGGAGGGAGGGCAAAAGATTTCTTTAAACCTGAGTTCTTGCAGGAAGGAAGATGCCCAGAGAAGGAAAAGATGCAGAGAGTATATTGGGGTTGGTGGGGAAGATAGCTTCTGGGGGTACTTAACAATTCTGTCACCAACAGAGCTTTTCTTCTCAAACCCTTTCCAGCCTGCAGTTGAACAAACCAGGTCTCAGTTACTAAGCAGATGTCCTGGAAAAGGAAGGCAGGGTGCTTACCCCTACAGGAGAGAAAGAAGAACCAAATTAGATCCAGGCTCTGCTCTCAAAAGACAGCATCAGGTGAGAGGAAATTGCAGCTGCTATCCAGACTGACTGTGGTAAGAGCCTGAAGAGAGTTACTCAGGGTAGAAAGGGTTTATGTGAAAAGCCGTGCTAGGCTTAGGGTGGGACATCAGTGCTTGGAGAAATGGTAGCCATCTTCGGCTGTAGCTTAGATTGGTGATAGCATTAGGACAAAGAGCATTTGCCAGTCAGAACAGAGCACTGTTCTGGCGCAGCATCTGGGAGGGCCTCTGGCTCCAGGCATGGACTCATCTAGTTGCAAGATTATAGGGGAATGGGGGCCAGAGAAATAACAACCAGTAGAAGTATTTCCAGTTTTAACAACTGGAGGTGCGGTGTGGTGCTTATGGCTCAACACTCAGCCTTTCTGAAGGACCCTCCAAGACTGAAGATACAGGTCTGGCTTCTGTTGTGGAGGGGCTTGAATCCATGTTCATGAGGATGCCCTTCACTCAGGAAGGAACAGGGGAGCCGTCTCTCTGGGGGACATTGTTCAACAAACATCCCTTCGATTAATAATTAGTCAGGAATGGCTGCTGGGGATGCTGTTTTGCTAGAAGATGCGGTGCCTGTCCTTTGTCAGCTGGAAGTCTAAAAGGCATTTGGGAAGAGAGTGACAGGACCCCAAAGCATGATAGAACCGGAGGGCTGACAGGACCTTGCATAGTGGAGTCCTGCCCTCACAGATAGGGTAAGTGACTTGGCCAAGTTCACGCAGCCAGACAGAGACAAGCCCTTCCCTCCAGTGGTGGCTGCGAAAGAAGATAAATCTTGCCAATCAGAGGCCAAGATGGCAGGGGGGTGGCCCAAAGGGGAGGGTGGCACATCAAGAGGGTGCTGTATTCTCAGCAGTGGAGTTGGCCTTTTTTTTGGGGGGGGGGTACGGTTTCGGAGGACTTATTCTTGCCCTGTTAACTCTCTCTCACTCTTCCTCTGGCCTGGCTTGGGGTGGGTTCGCGGTGTGGGTGGGAAGGCGCGCGCCCCTGCAGCGTCTGAGGCTCGTCTTCCCCCAGCGGAAGGCATCGGGCACCTCCTCCCAGCGGCCCCCGCCGGCTTTGGTCCGCCCCGAGGCTCCCCAGAGCTCGCCAGGCGCCAGGGCTCCTTGGGGCCGGCTCTGGGCCAGCCGCGGTCGGGACGCCGGCGGGTCCCCAGGTCCCGGGCAGCACGCCGCCGGCTGCACGGCCCGCGCTCGGCTCGGAGAGCGCTCGGCGGCGGAGTCCGGCGCTGGGGAGGGGCGAGGAGAGCCGCAGCCCCCTCTGCCCGCCCAGACCGAGGAGGGGCGAGCAGGCGCGGAGCTGGGCGAGCGCGGGGCTGTGCGCGCGTCTCTCTGGGCACACACTCTCCGCGCCGCGCGCTCCCCGGGTTGGGTGGCCTCGGACCTCGGCGGACAGCAGCGGTGTGAGCCGCGCTTGCTCCGGGGTGCGTTCAACGCCGGGCGGGAGCCGCTCGCTGGGGTCACTCGACTCCTTCTCCCCGTCTCCCGGGAGCCAGCGGGGTGAGCTGGAGGCCGACCCGGGCGGACGCGGCGCTCCTATAAATAGCGCGCGTGTGCCCGCCTGGCGCCCTCCCGGCTGCGCGAGGACAGACAAAGTTGTGCGCAGGGACTCGGGGAGCGCGGCAGCGGCTGGAGAGGACCCCGCCGCCGAGCCGCCCTGCGCCCTGGAACTGATCCCGCGAACCGGTGCTCTCCGTGCCCGGGACCCGGCTGGCTGCTGTCTACCTGCCGACGTCCGAGAGGCGCCGAGGTGTGGGGAATTTTGGACGAGGCGAAAGTGGGAGTCGCCGGAGTCCTGGCGGTGAACACAGCCTCCCGTTCTTCTCAGTCCGGCAAACACCTTCTGCCTCTGTAATTCGTCCCTGCCGCAAGCCGGACGCGTACAGGACCGACAGCCGCGCCACTCGGCACCCACCTAGCCCCGAGGCTTTTCTCTGAGTCTCCTTTGTTTTTCCTGCTCCGTCGTTCACCTGGGGGTGCTTGGGTTTGGGGTGAGAATTTATTACCGTTTTCCTCTTTGACTTGTGAATGTGAGGGTTTGGTGACTTTTAGATGTCCAGGAACAAGGGTGGGTGCAGGGGCCCCAGGCAGGGCTGATTCTTGGGCGGAGGAGGGTGGGGCAGGGGGTTCTGCATGAGCTCCTTAAAGGACAAAGGTAACAGAGCCAGCGAGAGAGCGCGAGCGGAGACTTTGACTTCAAATCACAGAATTGGGGGAAGTGTGCGCGCCGCCGCCGCCGCCGCCGCCGTTCCTGCAGCGCTGTAGATCTAGCCACTGGCATCTTCCCGAGCGCCGGGGTCCCGGGGTTGGAGGCGAAGCGGGCGAGCGGGAGCGCCAGCCGGCTGCGGCTGCCCACGCGGCTCACCATGGGCTCCGGGAGCCGGGCGCTGTCCGTGGTGCCAGCCGTGCTGCTGGCCCTCACCCTGCCGGCGCTGCCCGTCTGGGCACAGAACGACACGGAGCCCATTGTGCTGGAGGGCAAGTGTCTGGTGGTGTGCGACTCGAACCCGGCCACGGACTCCAAGGGCTCCTCTTCCTCCCCTCTGGGGATCTCGGTCCGGGCGGCCAACTCCAAGGTCGCCTTCTCGGCGGTGCGGAGCACCAACCATGAGCCGTCCGAGATGAGCAACAAGACGCGCATCATTTACTTCGATCAGGTCAGACCCTGAGGGATGCAGGGCACCGGGTGTGTGTGTGTATGGGTGGTGGTGGTGGGGTGGAGGGGTCGATCTTCTGGCAGCCCAGAGACCCAGGCTGCCTGCTCAGGCTAAGTTGGTCTGACTGGGATGTGGGGGATCATTTCGGCGCTCGCCTTCCCAAATGGGTCTGGGCCTGGAACTTCTGTCTCTCCCACCACCGCCCCTGCCCGAATTCCCTCCTGGTCTCCGGAGAGAAAGGAGGGGGAGAGGCTGGGAGCGCAGAGCCCAGCCACAAGAGCTCGGGGCGAGTTTCACAGCAACAGGTCCATAGGAGCTGGCGGGAGTCTGGTCCCTGGACCTCGAAATCGCTTGGCCAGAGCTTGCCCCCCCCCCCCCCGTCCCCCGCTCAGACTCCTCTGCATGTGCCGCCCAGGCGGTTCCCGCGCGGTCCCCTCGCGGTCTCCGGATAAATGATTTGTTCCCCCCCCCAGGTGGAGAAGCTTCTCCCCAAGGAGAGCTTTGGGGTCCACGTTCTCTGCAGAGCTCTCGCAGGTGGCCGCCGAGGGTGGGCAGCGATGGCGTGGGTCAGGTCTCGCCCACCTTTCTGCTGTCAGGATCCCCTCGCACGCTGCAGGCGCTGCTGCAGCGGAAAGCATTTCTGTGGTACTTGGAGAAAAGTTGTGGAGGGAGAGGGAGGGCAGCCGCAGGGAGCTCCCATTGGGAAGCGCTGGGGAGCCGGTGCTCCCTGCCCCTGCTCCGGTCCTTTCAGAGAATTGCAAATTACTGGGGAAAGACAGATTTTGGGGTTGAGGGTAGGGGGTGGAGAGGAACTGATAAAATCTGTGGCTGGAGCTCTGGGGTTTGGCTGATGAGAAACCCCAGGGGTATCAACTTAGCTTTAGCAAGGAGTCTTAAAACTGGAAACTGACTCCGGGGTTGTAATTTCAACCCTAACAGCACCCAGAGTCTTTTAAATTCCATAGTCACTTGTGTAGTACACAGTTGTATGCAAAGACACATGTGTGGGAACACAGGTTAAGTGGTACTGCAGTGTGTGCCAGGGAAGGAAAGAGGTGATATTTCCATTCCTTACTTAATTGTTCCTAAGTAATGCACTCTCCAGCTGGCCAGGCAGAGAATGCTTCTCTGGGGCTTACTATCAGATAGCTATAATTTTTAAAGAATGAAGCAGCCCCTTTGGGGTTTTGGTGCAGTATTTTCCATCCTGATGGAAATAAAGTCTGGTTTATATTTAAACGCATTAATTAAATGTTGGACGTTGTGGACATGGCATTGTACAATGCCTTCTTTTCCATGACCTTTCCATCAATTAGAAGAGGAGAGGATTTGTTCTTCTGGTTGGGGAGCCATGCATCTCAGAGAGCACAAGACACATTTAGTTCTAAATCTGTATGTGCCGGGATGCTCCAATTACAATGTAGAGTCAACATCCAGCCTTGTGTGTAGTCAACACTAATCAGACATTTCCATTATTGCTAATGAATTATGCTACTTGTATCTGAGTCAGGAAGTCCCCGCTAAGTACCTAAAATTATTTTAAATGTGCTTGAAAAAAATCTTTGTAACAGCTCTGCGGGGGATTATTGCATAGCTGGTGATTGGTTGCTGAAAGATCATTGATCATCAGGTCAGAGAAAGAAATCTGAGGATTATTTGGAAGAAGGTGAACTCTCAGAATAAAATTATACACATACATGTATTTTAAGTCGAGGGTTGAACCTGGTACATCATCTTGACCCGCTACTATATTCTGGTGCATTGCTCAGAGGGGATAGTATGTTTTTAGGGAATTATGCAAAAGGCCCAATATTGGAACGAATGTAGTGTTTACAAGAGATAGTGACAGATTGCCACTGATACAGTGGAAATGTATCCTTATAGGGACATCCTCTGTTTTTGAATGCCAGTTATAGATTCATTTCTTGGAGAGAAATGGAATAAACCCCAGTCATTTTACAACTTCCCACCCCCAAACATTCTCTCTCTCCTTCTCATAGGAAGGGACTGACTTACGTGACATTTGCAAATTTGGTTTAAGAGGTCACTTATTGAAATTCAGAGTTAATCTCGTAAGCAGTAGAAACAGGCTGCACATCTTGGAATACAAAATGCATTGCTGCTTTCTTAGGAAATAGTGCCTTATTTTAGTTTTCATTTTTGACCCCTGAAGTTTAAATAGAGAGCAGGTGATTGAGAAGAAGATAACGGATAACACTGGCAGGAACACACGAAGGCCACCAATTTCACAGTCTGTCCTTATTCATGCTCTACTTTTGGCAGCCTGCAAAGGCTGAGTCATTGCCAAAATATTATAATTAAGGCCTAGATAGCACAGGACTGAAAAAATGGCATGGATCTTAGGAAAGGTTTGGCGGAGGCTCAGGGGAGGGCTAGGCATTCAGATTAGTCTGTACACTATTCAGTGTCATGGATTATGTCACAGGGTGGAGGGGGTGCCCAGGCCTCTATGTGATGTGTCCAGGAATGACTGCAGAGAGCCCATGGATGCCGATTGGCTGTCTTGGAAACGTCATCTCTGGACATTGCAAAGGCTTGTAGAGGATGGGAATATCAATACAGGGCAGATGCCTTTTATCTGACTCTCAAGGTAAAGCTAATATTTATAAGCCCTCCGTGTTACCTAGATGTTTCCAGAGCCATCAGGCCTTGCTGGAAATTGAGGCATGAATACAAAGCAGTTACTTTATTTGTTTCCTCTACCATTTAAAAGACAGCAAAACCTTCCATTACACAAATCTATTTTCCAAGTCACCAAAGAGGAAAAGAGTAGAACTCAATGTTTTATTCTCTGTGGTTTCTTAAACTACTTATGAAAGAAATAAAGCTAGAAAGAGAGAGAGAGAGAAAGAGACAGAGAGAGATAGAGAAAGAGAGAGGGAAGGAGGGAGGGGAAGATGGAAGGAAGGAAGGAAACTTACAGAAGAGATTATTGTTAATAATTTACTGTTACTTATTATTTTTATTTATAGATCCTAGTAAACGTGGGTAATTTTTTCACCCTGGAGTCTGTCTTTGTAGCACCAAGAAAAGGAATTTACAGTTTCAGCTTTCATGTAATTAAAGTCTACCAGAGCCAAACAATCCAGGTATGTGTTTTGACCTGCTCCCTCTCTACCCCCAAATGGCAGTGTTTATTGGCAGTGGGTTATGTATTTAAGTGTTTATCCAAAGATGTGTTTTCATTATAAAAATAAACAACCGTCTTTATAGCTTATTTTTAAAACACTTAATTTCCAATTTTCTTCTTTATTACATCCATTAAGGCTATGACAAGAAACATATAGAAAAATAAACCAAAGAAGGTATTACCTTAATAACAATGAACCATTTAGAAAACACGGCTTAGTTAAAAACTCAGTGGCACAAATTTCTTTATAAGATCTTGATTTCATTAAATGCCTGTGCAAAAATTATTTCAACTGGTAAGGAAGAAACTTGTAAGACTAGCAGAACTTTACAAGTACATATTAAATAAAGCAAATTTGCTATCATTGTTAGAAATTATGAGCTACAGGTAACCATTAGAAAAAATACACTTTTTACGAAAGGGTGTTCCTCTGCATATGCTTTAAATAGTTTATCCTCAGTTACTCTAAAAACTAGTGAATTCTTAGAAATTTCAGTTCCACAGTTAGCAACATATTTTGTGTTGTCCTTTCTCAGGTAATAGGCTTGACCTTACACTCAAAGACGAGTTCCTAGAATATTCAAATATGCTAACACCCAATAATACCAATGCGTGTCTATGGAATTCTAGCATTTTCTTTATCTTATGCTCAGTGTGTGTGTTGTATACTATGGCCACATGAAAGGTGGATTACATACTCTCCTACCGCTTTCACAGCTCCTAGCGAATGGGTAAATTGATCATCCTCAGATTTAATTTAGGCAGTACTTTCTTTTAACATAAAAGGAATGACTATCTAGTAAACAAACTTACTAGCGTGGAAAAGCTTTTCCCAAGCCCCAATATTTGGAAATTTATGTAATGTTTAACACAGTATAATCAAAACTGTAGTCGGGAGAAAATTTTGAGTTTATTATTTGTTAATAATTTTGAGTTTATTAATTATGTATTCCTTGCTAATTATCCATCATTAAAATCTTCACTATGGTGGTGATTATTATTTTTAATACACAATAAATGTACATTTATTATTTTTAATACACATTATCAGGGAAAAAAGAAAAAAACAGAACACCCCCCAACCCACACACACACACACACACACACACACACACACACACACACACATTTCATAATTTCAAATGATCTTCAGTACTATGCCTGTTGCAGGTTTAGTAACCTGAAAAATGTGTTGGTAGAATCTTGCTGTATCTGGGTTTATCAGAGCAAAGGACACTGGGCTTCTTTTTACTAATATACTGGGAAGCCTCAGGCTTGCTTCATTACCAAAAGATTGCTACTGAATGTGAGAAGTAAATAAAACAGCAAACTTAATTTATGTGTTGAAGGGAGGCCAGTTTTCCCAAGGGTAGGTTGCTCTCCATGGATGGTATTCTTTTGTAGGCGTTTCAGGAAATTTCTATGGGAGAAATTAAAAAAAAAAAAATCAGCTCAATAGACCTACTAAGTGCAGCCATTGCTGGGGATGAATTTACTGAACATCAGATGTTTTACCAGGTCTGTCATCTCCGACATTATTCATTAGCCCTGGTAGATGTTTTCAGTGATTTTTTTTTTCCTCATAGGTTAACCTGATGTTAAATGGGAAGCCGGTAATATCTGCCTTTGCCGGGGACAAAGATGTTACTCGTGAAGCTGCTACTAACGGTGTGCTTCTCTACCTGGATAAGGAGGATAAAGTTTACCTGAAACTGGAGAAAGGTAACTTGGTTGGAGGCTGGCAGTACTCCACGTTCTCTGGCTTTCTGGTGTTTCCCTTATAGGATTTGATTTCTCCGTGATGTTGATCCAGGGGAGGGGTGGCCCACCCCTGAGTTACTGGAAGATCATTTTCTCATCCTCGGATTGATGTCTTTTATCGGTTTCTCATGGGTTAATATGGATTCTCTTTAAGGATTCTAGGCCTGTCCGAACCAATACACAGTCTCACAGATTATTTTGTGTGTGTGTGCGTCTCTGTATACTCGGATGGGGACTCCCAGCAGACATAATATGTACCTGTGCTCAAGTGTAACAGTCAAAAGCTGTCTGCGAGGTTTATTCTGAATTTAATTTCCCGGAATCACTGAATTCGTTGCAGATGTGGAATTTTATTTCTTTGTTTTTAAGAAAAGACTGGCAACCGGGTCTAAGAATTAGAAAACTCTCAAGTTCTGACTTCAATCAACGTTTAGTGCGATACTGCCAAAGAACTGTGTGCTGTGTTGATATATTGATTACACTCATTTTTATTCCTTTGGAATCAGTTTGTTTTGTTCTCTTACAGTAACTGGGGATTGTTTTTCAGTGACTGGCTTTGTGTCTTCTCTACAAATAGGGTAATGAATGGCTCGCCTGCAAAGTTACCCTATGAGATCACCAACATGACTTCCCTTAACAAAAAAGAATGCTTCATAGTTGTATTTTAATTATATATGTGAAAGAGTCATATTTTCCAAATTATATTTTCTAATAGGAAGAATAGATCATAAATCTGACAAGGAAAAAGTTGCTTACCCGAGTTCTAAGTGCTCAGCCCCCAAACCTCCACCAAACCGCCCTCCTCCATGGGAAATCCTATACTTTCTTGCTCAGCTTGAATTAACATGATGGATAATAACCACTTTATTAAAAACCTAAGGGATTTTTTTCCCCTTAGACACGACCACTTTATTAACTGGAGATGGGATGCCCTTGTTTTAAATTATACCTATTTTTCAAGCCTTCTGTTGTGTTTGAAAGTATCATCTGGTTTTGCCTTAATTCCTTAAATTGTATATATTTATCTGTTTAGCTAATATTAAATCCAAATATCCCATATCTAAACTTAGTGCAATATCTTATTTTGTCTTTTGTACAGCTCATATGAATTCATAAAATTATTTATGTCTCTGTCATAGAATAAAGGTTAATATATGTTAGCTGAATTGTTTTGTCCTTTTGGTTCGGGAAATACGTATTCTCCGTGGTTTATTTCCCCCTTTTCACCAAACCTTCTTTCCTTCCCCCTTCTTGTTTCCATTTCCCGGAGTTTAAGAAAAGCTTTCTGAATCTGGGGGAAACCTTCTCTGAATTGGCGTGGGAAGGCTTCCCTGTGTTTAATCTGTTCTAATCCAGGAGTTGTCAGCCTGCCAAAAGAGAATCGACGGACTCCGTAAACTTTTCTTTCAGAAGGGACTTACTCTTAGGTAGTTAAGTTGAAAAAATTGGCTAAAATCTCCGGAGGGTGCTCAGTGAATGAGTGCGTGGCCATGGGTATAGAGACTGCTATTTTCAACATGAAGACTTCGGGGAAAAGTTCCACCCCCTTCACAACACTAAAAGACAAGTAGAAGATCACAGGTTTCTTTTGAGGAGGAACTATTATTATAGATGTCTCATCTGGAGCTTTGGCTCAATTTCCTGGTCTGTTGTCAATTAAAGCAATTTTGGAGAGCCCCTTCTGTAGACGGTGGCGGCAAGGAAGGTTTTAGAGGACCCTGTAGGAGGAGACATGTAGGCAGGTCTTCTAGCATAATTGTGATTAATCGCCAAGCCAAAATATTCATTCATCACAGGAACACTCTCCTCCCGCCCCAAGAAGAATTATCTGGAGATGTTAGCATTGGATCCTCAGTGTTTTTCTTGGCAAGTTATTCATTCTCCAGCTGGCTTTTAGTCAGAAACTTTCCTCCTTGGTGATTGCATAATGTGAGAAAACAGTATTGCACAGGGGACTTTCATCTAAACATGAGTGGCATCCTCTGCAAATATACCTGCTCTAATGTAACCTCCCCCCGGCTCTCTGTATTCAGGGTTTGCATCTCTACCTTGCAGCAGACTGGTTTATACTTGGATAAATACACTATTAGTCATTGTTTTGGCAAAATGGCTCAAGGGTATTGGAATTATTAATAGACACCTATGATGGAACAGAGAAAATGTGGGGCTTAACTAAATAGACCAGTGTAGAAGTGTCTTATATAAATTTGCTTGTGGCCATCCTTTGGGGCTTGCCCTTATTTTTCTTGATTTTTTTTCTGAACATAAAAAGAACGTTGGCAATGGGCTTGACTGTAATCCCTAAGCTCCAGTGTATATATTTTGGAATGCAAAACCCATTCAAAACCTCCCCGAAAAATTCAATATGAAAAGGTACTGAAGCTGTGGCTATCAGATGTGGGAGGGCACTTGCAGGAGGGAGGAACCCCAGTCGAGAGATGAGACTTCTCATCAACAAGGTCCGATGAAAGCCTCAGGTTCTTACTCCAGACCGGGTCTAGGAAGTAAGAGCTAGGCAGACACAGTGGCTGGAAAGGTAAGGTTGAAGGGAGGGAACAATAAGGGACAGAATGATTTAGTCAGGGGAGTCTGGATTTGGAACAGACATAGGATGGAATCCTGCAACCTTCACTTACCAGCTCTGTGACCTGGGGCAGGTTTCCTCACCTCTCTGAGCTTTAGTTATTTCCTTAGTAAACAAGAAATTGTTGTGAGAATTTAATGAGGTGCGTGAAGTGCCTCGGACTCTGTAAGGAAGCCCAGTGAAGGGTTGGCTGTTATTACTAATACCTGAAGCCCTAGCACAGCAAAGCAGTAAGTAGGGCAGAAGGAGAATGTTCAGACTGGCATGACGAAGGGTCAACAATTGAGCTGGAGGGGCCGGTTGAAGAGCTGGAAGCAAGGGTATCAGAAGTGCTTCCAGAAATGGAGCCAGATGCTCCCTGTGTGCTCTGTGACTTGAGAACAGTTTCCAGAAATTGCTCGGTCCACAAAAATGCTAATTGAACACAGTATTTGCATTGGCCCTGTCCACATTCATCAATGCCAGCATCATCCCTTCCTAGATGTTCCCCATCTCCTTTGACTGTTTCTTGATCTATTGATCGACAAATGCAGGCAATTATCTGTAGCAAGCAGAATCCCAAGAAAAACACAACTGAAGGAAATAAGGAGCTTGTGCATAGGATCTCACTGATTCCAACTGCTTTTAGGGTGCTCTCCATGACCCCAGATTCTGTTAGAAGGTGATTATTTAATTAAAATTTTGTTTTAATTTTTTTTTGAATTAAGTCTGTTTTCCCCTTTCTTTTTGGTTTCTGGAGATCTATAGCCAAATGTCTTCTTTTGGCCTCTACTTTTTATCAAACTACTGCTTTAAATTTTTTTTTAAGATTTTTATTTATTTATTTGACAGAGAGACAGCAAGAGAGGGAACACGAGCAGGGGGAGTGGGAGAGGGAGAAGCAGGCTTCCCACCGAGCAGGGAGCCCGATGTGGGGGCTCGATCTCAGGACCCTGGGATCATGACCTGAGCCGAAGGCAGACGCTTAATGATTGAGCCACCCAGGCACCCCCCCTTTTTAAAAGATTTTTTATTTAACTACTGCTTTAAATCTTGAAATAAATCTCTTTAGCCAACACTGATGAAATTATCCTCATGATGTGTCACACGTTTTGTTAAGGTGTTGAGTTCATATAAGTGGTGACATCTGCCCTTTTCAGACCTCCCTAAACATCAGACACAGAGTGTCTGCAAGGAGCAACCGAGATCTGAACATGCGGTTCCACCTCGCCTCCTGACTGAGCACACTGGGCTTTATCAGTCCCCCTTTACTGTTTAAACCGCCTGTCCCCAGAACAATGGTAATGCACTGGTTATAGCAAGGTCCCCAAATTGGTTGACCTAATGCCCATAAAGAAGTGATGAGCAGAGGAAGGTGATACCTTATGGTAGCAGTTTCACATTCAGAGCCGTGGAGCCACAATAGAATTCTTGTGCCAAGTGGTTCCCTTTGGTAGGGAGAAGGTGGGATTTAAGAGATTTGTTTTTAAATAGGTTACTCAATCCCCTCTACTGCAGGCCTACCTTTAATATGGGTTTCAATTGCTTTAGAATAAAAGAAAAAGATGCATTTTTTTGCACCGCCCCCCCAAGCTGCAAGCTGCCTTTTCTGTGGAAGACAACTCCTTTGTGAATTTGATCCTGAAGTTCCCTTATGTCAGCTTCTCAAACGAATGTGCATAAGAACCATCTAGGAATCTTGATAAAAATGTAGATTCCAATATCATAGGTCTGGGGTGGGCCCTGAAACTGCCTCCCAGATGATGTTCATGGTCCTGTCCCAGGTACCACACACACGCTGAATGGCAAGACTGTCCATTGTTGTTAAAGGCTTGTTACTCAAAAGTGTGGTCTGTGGACCAGTAGCTGCCACATCACATGGGGGCTTGTTAGATATCCCAGGTGGGGTCTAGACTCACCCCAGACCTACTGAATTGGGATCTGCATTTTTCAAAAGGTCTTTTTGCCCCACCCCATGGTTTTTAGGCACAGGAGCATTTATGAAGCCCTGTCCTTAAGTAAAACCCGAGACCACCAGCATCAGACTCTCGTGGGCTGGGCTTCAGTTTCACCAAGTCCCCAGCTGATTCTTTTAACCTCAATCCATCCAGGTGCAGGGCATTTCTTTGCAGTGACCCAGAACTACAAATGCTCCTGTTAGCCTCCCTATTTATAACACAGCGGGCTGAAGGCAGTGCGTCTGAAGCTTTCGTGCTGGTGAACACGGGACTCTTATTCTGTGATGGGAAGAGGCTCCAGGGACTGCTGCCAGTTTGTGCAGAGGAAGGACTCGAGGAAGACTTCACCTAGAGCAAAGGTGTGGGAGCCGCTTGCGTGAAAACGAAGGTAAGTCATCCACAGAAAGTGGCTTTCTCGTGAAGAGAGAAAACCCTTAGTGACATTCCTCATTTTGTCAGCGTTTGTTCTGAAATAAAGATGTAGTTATGTTGCATTTTTTCT